AAAAATCATAGGAACAAAAAAAAAAAAAAAAAAAAAACGGATCAGCCGCTGCAGCGGATTACCCGCTCGTCCTCCTCATCACCATCATCATCATCATCAGCACCACCGTCATCAGCATCACCGTCGTTCCTGCCCCCTGCTCGATGGGGGGAAAAACGCCCGCTAGCGGATGAGCCGCCACGTGCGTCGTTTTGCCGTCCCTCTTCCCCTTCTTCGCTTTCCTCCCCTCCTCTGTTCCCAACCCCTCCTATTTTCTCATTGCCGCGAGTTGTTTCCGCGCGTGGGCCTCTCCAGTGTCTTTCGGAGGTTTGCTAACTTAAAGTAATTATTTGGCACACTTGCAACCTTGGTATATGAGATCGCATGTGAGGTATATCACCGTAGGTATCTCTTACTTGATATACTGGATGATGTTCTGAGCATGTCAACAGCTATAAGGTAGTACAATGATAATGTTCACTTGCTCCGACATATAAGTAGGGGTGCTGCTCTTATAGATATGGATGCTGCTACTAAAAAGTCGTATCAACTACAACAACTCCCTCGGCCATCCAAGTGGGTGAGAGGGCAGGGTATACGCGCTATCTGATTCCATCAAAACGCGACGTCTTCCACGCCATGGCCGAGGACATGCCGCGCCATCCGATCATGCGGAGGATGCGCAAGATCTGTCGTCGCGCCGCTGATAAGACCGTCATTGGCATCGACGGGCAGCGCAGCGCCCTTCTCTCAGTACTCCACCAGCGAAAGCACGGTCAGAGGACCAGGGCGAGATCCGACAACTCTGGCCTGCGCGCGCAGCTCTCGGCGCAGCGCCCAAGCGGAACGAAGGCGAAACGCAGTCGGCCATCCCGTTCTCAACGCATGAACAGATTAACCCCAAAACTGTCAGGAACGGATTTAAGCACTACGTGCTTGAATCCGTTCCACATTATTGCTTCCGTGTCTGAAAAGGTTCACGTTGTTTTGTTGTTTTGACAAATTTGGCGAGGCAGCGTGCTGCTCGTGAAGCCGTACTTCTCCAAGCCAGATCCGAACGTGATATCCGCGCTCTTGGCGGCGGTCGGAGCAGACGGGAGCAACTGGCCCCACCTGGCGTGCTCGGACTCCCCCGATCTCTATGCCCCGTCGTCCGGGAGCACCTTCCGCGGGCGCTGTGCGCCGCGAAGGGCCCGCTCCACGTGGCCCTGAAGGAGGGGGATGCAGCCGGCGAGCTGGCGACTCCGTTGTCTCGCCTCCTGCGCAAGTGCCTCCGGAAGTTCGCGATCGGGGGCGACGGCGGCAAACGGCATTTCCGCGGGCAAAGGCAGATGGTGAACATCCCGTCGTTGAAGGACGCCGTCGGCAACGTGCGCCCCATCCGCCAGAGGACTGCGCTGAATCGGATATCCGGCGATGCCTATTCCGACAGGGCGCACGCGGGGGCATCTCACTTCTTGGACGACGTCGCCGCCATGCGCATGGAACACCCGGGAGAGCTGACTCGCAAGACAGACAGCAGCTCCACGGTGCCCCGATGACAACGGCTGCGTTTTCAACGGGGGCCGGGCGTCGGCGGCCGGCGGCGGCCCGAGCAGCCGGGCACGCCAGTTGCTGCCAGCGCGCTGCCTGTCGGAAAAGCGACCACTGTCGTTGGCCGCGGCAGGAGCGCGCCAGCCTGGTGTTCGCGACGTCGCCGCGCCAGGTCGAGTACCTTCTCAACTTGTCGCGGTTTGCATCCGGGCACTCCGAAGTCGATGCCCCCTACGGCACCGCGCGCAACGAGGCCGCGCACAACCAGCTGAAGAGCTACTACTGGAACGTGTTCCTGCAGACCGGGCGCGACGCCCAGATGGTCGCCGCCGCGCGCACGTCCGCGAAGTTGCCGGCGGGCTGGACGCGGCGCATTCCGAACCTCGCCGACGGCAGTCGGGAGGGGCACGAGGGTTTGCGTCACGCGCTCAGCAGCATAGCAAGCGGCCCTCCAGACGCCGCGGCGCGGCCGCGGATGCGCGGCAAGACCCGCTCGAATCCCGGTGCCGATGAGAGCGCCGTGGCCCCGGGGGCCAGGAGGCTTCGGCGGTCTTGGCGGCGCGCGCAAGGGCGGGGGCATGATTTTCGTCTTTCTTCTCCCAGGGGCGCAGCGGAGCGGGGTCGACCGCTGCCAAACAATAAACTGTCGTCCGTGGGCCTCGGGGCTCGACCCCCTCCATCGCCCAATCGCCGACCGCCGCAGCTGCGCATGAGACGAGCGCGCCCGCGCGGTGCCCCGACTCGCCCCGACGCATCCAGAGCAACACCTGCCCCCCCGCGGGCAATGGCCGCCTGCGGCTGCGCCTCCGGCGGTTTCTTGGCGTCGGTAGACGCGGCGACCAGCTGCCGATTCTGGGTGCCCGTGGACTCCAGCGGTCGCGCCCTTGTCGTCGCTTCAGTCGCCTCCTCGACGGGGGAACTGACTCCCGATCGAACTCGACCCTGACGACGCATGTATATCAATAAGGCATAGCTGCAATAATGTGGCCGATGCCTGAGGGAGAGAAAGGATGCGCTGCATCGCTTTCGCCTCGCCGATCGCTCTTCTCTGCGTCGACGCTCTCCTCCGCGCCGAGGTCGCGGAGTCCCCCCCCGACCCAGACTCCGCGTGGCGGCTGGTTTCCGGGCGCGCCCCTCTCTCGTGGAAGGCGCGCGGATGTCCCGCGAGGCGCCTGCGTTGGCGGCCAGTCCGAAGCGCCGCCTCAGCCCCGACTGCGCTGTCTCGGCGCAGACTGGCGGATGCGACGGTCGAGAAAAGACGAGGCTGCGCCGCCAGGTGCCGCGCGGGCCGCCATGGCCGCCCATGAGGCGTGGAACTGCCTGTACATTCGGCCGCCGCCACCTGTAATCAGATGCATATACCTCTTCGCGGGGGAGATCCTCAGGGCGCCAGACTGGGCAGACTTGCGCATCCCTTTTGGGATCCGCTACATGTCAAGGGCCCGCGCGCCGATGCCCGGCGCAATCTGAGCGGGGCGCTTGCTGGGGAGGGCCGCGCTGCCCTGCGCGGCCAAGGCAGCGATCGCTTCTCGGGGGGCGCAGCGGAGCGCAGGGGGTCGACCGCCGCTAAAACGCAATGCTTCGTGCTCGGGCCCAGACCCGCCACTTCTCCTCGGCGCCCCGCTGTCATCTCCCGCAGCTGCGCAGGAGCAAGGCGCGCGGGGGAAATATTACGCCGCCGCCCCCCCCCCCCCGTCGCCCTCGAGCGCGGCTGACGCCGACGCCCGCAACGACATCGGCCGCGCGCGCGCTGAATGTCGGGCGACGCTGCTGCTTGTCGAGGAGAACCGATGCCCTAAATTCGATGGGATCGATTCAGTTCTTCGTGTTTGTCGATAGCTCGTCTGTCGAAGGGGCTGGCGTTTCCTGCGCGAGTAGCGCCCAGCGTCACTGCTGCTACTTGCCATGCGGCCAGGCAGTAGAAGCTAGACATGGTCGCTTACCAGCACGCTCTCGCCCTGATGAAACACTTGTTCTGCAAGGCTTTGGTGGCGATTGTGCGCTGGGACATTCAGATCCCTGACACCGTTCTCGGTCGCGTCGTCTCCGACCCGGCGCCTTCGACGCAGAGCTGGGTCACCCTGCCGAACATGGGCGCGGCCGGGAATGACCCCGTGCTCCCATGAGCAGGAGGCTCTGAGGGCCTGATCGTTCTCTGTGGGGGGTTTGCCGATCCGCCCGCCAGATCGCGCGCCGTGTTTCGGCGATGCCGCGTGGCGCGCGGCGCCTGGCCCCTTCGGGTCGCATGATCGACGAGCGGCTCGAGACTTGCCACGCGTCCTGGCGCGCGGTCCCGATCGACGATTTCAGAACAGGAAAAGCAAGAACGGATGTAGGCACGTCGCGCCTGAATCCGTTCCTGCGGTTTCGGGGTGCCTGCCAAGGACCAGCTCCACTCCATGCACGGGTACATGGCCATCGAGGCCGAGTGCCCGGTCGACGATGTAGACATCGATTGCGACTTGGCTCGCGCGGGGGTGAAGTTGCACCTCCTGCGCACGCAGGACCATAGTGGTTATTGCAAACGCTGGAGGCGTTTTCTTCCCTTTTTCCATTTCTTGCTCTTGACTGACCAAAACCTTACAAAAGCTACACCCCAGAATGTGGGCGCCACGCAGGCGGCACTGTGATATAAAAGCACATTACACACGTATTGAAAAACAGAAAAGAAACGAGCAGGTGAGCCACAGTCCGACCCCGAGGTTGAGCACGTGCCAGGAACGGTGCCCAAACAGAAAGAAAGCGCCGATCTTGAACTCGGAACAAAAACGGCCCCATCGTTGTAGCACCATCCCAACGCAAGACTCGATGCTGAGCGCCATGCGCATCCGTTGCGGCAACTTCCACAACGGCGCGAAGCCGCCATATCTGGAATATGTTAATGGGCACTGGCGCTCGGGCAATACTTTGCTGGTTTTGTACACGCAGCAATACGTGTGGGGCGCGTTTGCGGCGGGGCCTCGGTGCGAAAACAATGCGTGCGGGCGGGAAACAGCGGCGCCGCGGATTTGTCACATATCTGGAGCGGAAGTGTCATCAGCAGAGCACCCAAAAGAAATAAATATACGACGCTGCTGTATGCGTTAAGTCAGGAGGATATGTAGGACAATGAGCCAAATCACGATCATGACAAAACTAGATTAGAAATACTTACATGAGTACACATACGGCCACCAGTGTTAGAGCTGATATACTCGATTTCGCGCGTTACAACCGCGCACGCGCGCAAGCTCACGCCACGAAGTACCGTGCGGCAAAATCTGTCCGCGCGAGAAAACAGCGCACGCCGAATAGTCTTAAATGTCATCCCGACGGGGAGGGGGGATGTCTGGCTCAGGACCTCCGCTTAGCGCGACTGTTTGCGACAGTGCGTCCTATGAGGGGAGGCTCCACCTGCTCGAAACAGGCGCCAAAAACAGCCAAGATCTTCTCCATGGGGGGGGGGGCGAGGGCCCCCGCCGATCGGCAAAATAATGAATAACAAAAACTCACCGGCGTAATCTTGTAATTGTTGTTATGCCACTCGTCGAAGATCGCGAGAGCTTGGCTCAAACTCTGGCAACACGCAGCCACCACCTTTCTTTGGATGGAGGCCCCGCAACCGGAAGAACAAGAGAAAACTCGGCCGGCTATTTCGGCACCCCGGGCGTCGAATCCCGCAATCTTTCATTTTTGTCCTAGACTTCTCCATGAAGACTGATTCTCCTCCGTCCACGGCGCTGCGCTCGCTACCACCGTCGGGTGCGGGCGTCCGTGCTCCGGCGCTGGCCAATTAGACAGCAGGGTGCCGGCCCCTGAAATTGGGCTGCGGTGTGGTGCCTTTGCCCTCGCGGCCCCCGGCCCCTGCAGGAGCGGTGTGTGCCGCCCTCGCTGCGCGGCGCTGTGGAGCGCAAGCGTGGGGGCGAAGACAAGTCTGGCCCGAGAGCCTCGGCGAGTAACTCTCACATGCTAGAGACGGCAGGAAAAAGCTCTCGGAGGTCCGCGCGGGCTTCTCGGGTCTGCGCCAGAGGCCAATCCCCCAGCCCCCCCCCTCCCCCCCCGGCCCCCCCCCAAGCTCCACACCTTGAGGCACAATGCACGCCCTACCCTACACCTCAACAACCATGGACTTTAAGTTGGCTCATTCCCCTGATCCCGCAGCGTGCTGGTGTTAATCACCGGCAAGCCATCAACACGAACATTATCGAATCAGTTTTCGAAAGCCAAGGTTGGCGAACATCAACTCCGAGCCAAGCAGAACCTCAATCTATGGTATGAGGGATCTCAGCTCGAGAATAGAAGAATCGCAGC